TGTGGCCAGCTCAGCCCGCCAGGGGGCGGGCTGGCTGGCATGTGGTGCTGGGGGATTGAACTTCGGTCCCTGTGCTTTAGCTAAGCTTGATTCTAAGTAGGTGCTTTAGACCACTGAGCCATCTCACCAGCCCCAGGATTATCTTAAAAAAGAACAAATATACAACATGCACGTAAAAGTATTCAGAATCTTTGGCTACTAGAGCAGTGTAAAGCTAAACAACCCTGAAATTATATCCTACTCTAGTAAGAATGGCTTGTCAAGGACTTAAAAAAGAACAAATACTGGCAATACTGTAGAAATTCCATTTGATACATCATACCTTTTCTGGGACTCTCCCCAAAAGTTATAAAGAGGTCATAGTAGAATGGTCCACACACACACACCCATGTTTATTGTAGCACTACCTACAATAGCTAAATTATGAAAGTGGCCTAACTGCCCATCCACAGATGAACGGAAAAGGAAATGTGATATCTGTACACAGTGGAGTACTACTCTGCCATAAAAAAGGATAAGTGTCAGTCATTTAAAGGAAACTGGATGCATCTTGAAATTATAATGCTAAGTGAAATGAATCAGTTACAGAAGGTTAAATGCTATGTGGTTTCTCTAATACTAGAAATCAAAATATAAGTAATTTAAAGTATAAAATAAAAGGAATATGGTCAGAAAGGTCAGTTGTGTGGATATGGGAATGGGATCTGTAGAAGGGAGGCATGACGAGGGAAAGAAGAGCAAACATTTCCAAGATGCAACAAGCACGCATTCCAAGTCCTCAAAATGAATGCAACTATGTGTCATAGATATGCATTAATCATCAAAAGAAAGTTACCTTACAAATAAAATTATAGCATTTCTGGCAACTCCAACTTCTTGTTTATGAACCCTGTCATTCAGTATGCCAGGGATTTGGGAATATTGCCAATAGCAATGATAGAAAAATGATTAACGACTCCTAACGCCACAGATCAGTTTTGCCTGTTTTCATGTATAATAAAAAGTGAGCCACACTCTATATAAGTACGTTTCTGACCTCTTCTGGTCAGCATTCTAGCTACGATGTAATTTGCATTGCTGAGTGCTATGGAACTGTCACAATTCTGTGGTATTTACTGCACTCTCACATCACAGTTTTCATCCTTTCTGATGGACAGCAGGGTAGTTTTCACCATATCTCTATTAATTATGCTAGCGACATAATTTATATGTCTTTTGGTAAAGAAAAACACTAGTTGATGCTTGGAAATATGCTCAGGACTAGAGACGCAAAGTTATGAGATATGTGTATGTGCAGCATTATTAAATGCCCCCAAACAAGTTCGTAATCTTCATAGCAATTTACAGGCTTATTAGTAGGTCATGACAATACAGATACATTATGCTCAACGATTGGTGATATATTCTATGTTTTTAATTTTGGTCATTTTAGTTGAGTATGTAGTGCTGTAGTTTTTATATTACTTTATATTTCTCTACTAAAGTAAGTGGAGAGAGAGATTGAGAGAAAGAGAAAGAAATGAGAAACAGACAAACAGAAATTGGGAAGCCCTCCTTCTTAAGGGAGCAGTTTGTTACGGCTGTGTCTAGATGTCCCCCTAAAGCCTCATGAAGTCGTAGAGGGGGCTGTTTCAGAGGTGGCTGGATATGGCGTGAGTGACACCGGGATCAAGGGTGTGTAATGATTCAATCAGTCACTGATTGCTTTGTACAGTTCCGGGTGTGCATAACGCGAAGACCCACCTGGGTGTGAGTGCTACCCGCCCTAAGGGCGCAAAGCCTGGACAGAATGTAAGGGGCAGAGAGGGTGCTGCCACCCCTCCCGCTGCTTTGCTGCCTTTGGCCCACCATGACCTGTTCCTCCTCTGCGATGCCCCTCTGCCGGACCGGCCTACGTTGGAGTCAGCTGACTGTGAACTGAAAGCCCTGCAGACTGTGAGCTCAATAATCCTTTCCCCGCTTAGCCTGCAGGTGTCGGGCATTTTGTCTCTGCAATAAGGCAGGTGACTAAGACACAGCTCAAGATTTGGCAACTTTTCTATTGAAGCAGTATGAATATTTCCCCACACCTCATGGCTCACCTTTCCTTTGGATGAGGGGAATACTTGAATTTTAATGTATTCCAATTTTTTCTCTTTCATTTTTGTGGTCCATTCTATTCCATGTTGCATTTAAAGAACGTATATTACCTTCGAGATTCTGAAGTTGCTTTTTTATGTCTTCTTCTGAAAGTTCTACTTTACCCTTTTCACATTTAGCTCTGGAGTTCATATGGGATTTATGCTTGTACATTATCTGGGATGAGCCAAGATCTCTCTCTCTCTCTCTCTCTCTCTCTCTCTCTCTCTCTCTCTCTGTCTCTCTCTCTGTCTCCCTGTCTCTCTCTCTCTTTCCCTCTTCCTCTCTCATTTTTATTTTGTTCCACTAATAGTTTCTTGTATAAATTGCTATAACTTTATTTTTTTACTTTTTATAAGTTTTCTTTTTCTCAGCCTGTGTTCGCAGTACAGAATGAGTACATTCATTGTGGAGAACGGGTACGTGTACGTAACACATCTGAATTCTTTGTCCTTGCCCTTCTCTCACTTCTTTGCCAGCATTGGATTCATTTATTTTATAAAGTTATTTATTACTTATACAGATTAACAGCCAGACTAATGGGCCAAAGACATACTTTTCTTCATGATTGCCCTAACTATTCTTGACACTTGAATTTTGTTTGTTTGTTTGAGACAGGGTCTTGCTGCGCAGTTCAGGCTGGCCCTGAGCTCACTTTGTGGCCCAGGCTGGCCTCCAACTCACAATGATCCTCCTGCCTCAGCCTCCCACGTGCTGGGATTCCAGGCATGTGCCGCCATGTGTGGAAAAGCGCTTTAATATTTACATGTAAACTTTAGAATTAGCATTGTTTTCTTGATATGTAGCCAGCGTGGTGTCGCATGTACTTTTCATATTGGCTCTTGACCTCATGCTCTGGTCCCAAAGTCAGACTTCGATGCAAGCTGTGAACCTGGGCCAGAACACTACAGGTCACAGGTTAATGTTAGAGTGGTCCACCTGCTTTTCAAATCTTTGGTCTCTTTAATCTCTGTTGTCTCTACACTTCTAGGGCTCCTTGCAGTTTATAATGAGCGCAGTGACCACCAACAAACAACTTTGTCCTACCTAGAATGGAAGCGACACCCATCTCATTTGATACTAAATCCACTGCAACAAAGATCTACAAGTCTCCACCAAGTTCTGTCAGTTACTGTGCCGTACATCTAATCCATCAGGGGAGTCAGGGGCCAGAATCAGGCCGCTTCTCACCACGTTACCACTGTCACTGCGAGCTAAGCCAGCATCAAGCATTCCCTGAAATCCTTCCATAGCCCCCTCTTCTCCATCACATTTCACTTACTGGATGCCACTTCTATCATCTCCCTACTTGGAGGATTTGGGGAACTTTTAACTATTGTGAAATACAAAGGAAAGTGGGGTTTTTTTAAATGTATTGGGTGCAGGGTCTCACTACGCAGATTGGACTCACAGTGGTTCTCCTGTTTTCAGCCTCCGTAGCATTGAGATTACAGGTGTGTGCCACTATGCCCAGTCTCAGTGGCCCGCTCAGGGTGCCCAGGGCTGGGGCCAGTGCGGCATGTGGTACTAGGGATCGAACCCTGGATCCTGCGCTTGCCTAAGCAGGAGCTTAGTCCACCAAGCTATCTTGCCAGCCCAAGAAAAGTGTCATTATCTGCTGCGCCCTACATGTTATGGAGCAGTAGAATATATTCCTCCTACCCAGCTATTTTGACAGTTGTTATCCCTGCTGTCCCTAGCCTCCCACATCTACCTTATTTTCGAATAAAATGGGGTAATCATGATCAGTATGTTTTCAGTTTCAGCACTAACAGCATCCTCCACCTAGGCCTGGCTGACTCTCCGTAGTCCATAGTACTTCTACGTCTTCCCACGGTTCTCCTCACTTTACACTCTACCTCGCATGTTCCCTTTTTATTCATTATTTAGTTGATCTTTCACTGTCTCTCTCCTCTCTAATACAAGTTCCACATGGCTTGTGGAGTTTGTTTTATTCATGGACACATTCCCACTCCTAGAATGGAGGCTGGCACACAGAAGACAGTCTGTAAATATTTGACAAATAAATGAATGAAAAATATGTCACATATAATTTTTGGAGTTTTTCAAATATTCTTTCAAAAACGCAGAGGTAAATCTAACACAGACAGGCTCACACACATTTTGGTATATTACTCTGGTGATTTGCTACATAACATACACTGAAATTCTTAGATTTAGAAACACTTCCAAACTCCATTCAGTTTTTTTTTTTTTTCGGAACCAGGAATTGAACTCAGGCCCCTGCACTTGCCAGGCAAGCACTTATTCCACTGAGCCATCTTCCCGGCCCCTCCATTCAGTTTTGACTTTTCTAATTCATTTGGAAACAAACTGCGTGTTTACTTTCTTCTCTATAAAATTTACAACTACTGGGAAAGGTAATGTCCTAAAAACTGAGCAAATCTTCAGTGGCTGCCTCTGTACTATTTACTGTTGAGAATGAGACAGAAGTATACAGAGGTACAGGCTGAATGGACGTTTAACAACATGTGTAAGTATAGTGTCCTTCAGTGATCTTCTCTTTCAGAAGCTGCTGCTTGTACTGTATATAAGTTCTAACCTGCTCTGTCCTCTGGGAAAATTAGCAAACAGATGTTGATACTTTAAAGACACAGAAATTATTCTGAAATGGTGACATAAGATTTAGCATGTAAAAAGAAAACTGTTAAGCTCTGAGGAAGAAAACTGAAGAGCTAAGGCTCTTCGTCGTGGCCACTCGTACTTCCCACATTCTCTGTACTTGCGTCCATAGTAGCCAGAGCTATAGGCCTTAGCTTCAGAGACAACTAGAGGAGAAATAGGACAGACTGATTTCTTTTGGTAGGAGACCAAGCAAAGAAAACTGAGAAAATACATACAGCTTCCGAACTTCAGTGGGCAGGCATGCACATCCATGGGAAAATCTTCCAAGTGCATGGGACACTCAGCATGAATCGTGAGCCTGAGAGAGAAGACAACGGAAAACAGAAAATCAAGTAAACTACAATAAATGTTATTAAGCATAAGGTTCAGATCACGCCCAACAGCACCCCTAAGACTGGCAAGGCAGTCTGCTTGTTTAGGCTCACTGAGATTCGAGTCTTTCTGAACATAAAAGATGGATTAAATGAACTAGACAGTGTATCAAAGCCTCATTCAGTATTCATATTTTTAGATCACATCTGAATTCCACGGTGCCATCTTTTGAATATATATATATATATATATATATATATATATATATATATATATATATATATATATATTTCATCTGGCCTTCTGTTCCTTCCTTAGCTATTCTTCAAGCAGCCTGAAGGCCCTAGGTCCTGGCTAATTCACTCGTAACCGCAGTTTAATTGTATCTGAAATAATTCTTCTCAGCAGGCTATTATGTGAGTGAAGCAATTGAAAGATTGCACTGAAGAGGAAAGATGTGTAGAAAGAATATCTTCACTCTGATAATGAACAGACACAAAATACAGCTCTGCTGCTCATAGGAAGTGCTCCAGCTTTGTTAGGAGTGATGGGTCTCCAAATACACACGAGCGCGCATGCACACACACACACACACACACACACACACACACATCAACTAAGCATTTCAGAAAGAACCCCAGTATATGACAGGGCATCAGAAAGTTCAAATCCCAAGAGCTCATGCTCCAACATACATGTAGCATGAGCTCCTGAATGGATAGGGCATGGCCTGCCATATCCACACAGCTATTCACACCAACCTGTATAAATAATCTTTGTCAAGGTTTTACTTCTGAATTCTTTCAAGTTTTTGAAGCTCAACTTTGCTTGGCTTAGAAAATAGTCTCTTATGTAGAAATGGTACCTGCACAGCAAAAAATATGGAATTCTTCAGAACCTAGCTCGAAGGAGCTATTTCTAGCGAGCTTTTATACCTCCCACACTGAGCCCAATTCCTGCCATGCTATTGAAGCTCCAATAAGCTGAGACGCTGGTCATCAGTTATAGTGCCATTCGTTCCCGCATGCAGTTTTCTCCATTGGACGAGCACCTCTGCTCATCTCTTTTCAGGATTCAGAATTCCTATTTAGTAGAACGTCAGCACAATAGGCTGAGTGAAACACTTCTCATTTCTAGGAACTACCAAAGATGCACACTGGGAAAATGTCCAGTGGAAGCAATAAATGAAGCTCTGTGAGGTGTCCCATGTGCACGCTCTCCCTTCTCACTCTCCTCACCCGCAGTGTTGCTGTATCAGGACCTGGTAGCAAGATCCTGGCAAGAGAGTCCCCAGGCCATTGCTGCCCCACTTTGCTTCTCTTTGGTTGATGCAAGTGAGGTACCAGAGGATATTTATTTATCATTAAATTATAGACATCCATGTGTCTAGGAAGACACGGCAAGTTCAGTGTACAATTGCGATTATTGCAAGGATCATCGCTAATATCATCTGAGATGTACAACACAGCTACAGTTTCGAAGGCACATTCGCACTCACCACTCCCGTTCAAGTCTGCCCCTAGCATTGGTACTGTGGCGATGCTGGGTGCCTTCAAGTAAGGATGCTATTTAGTCCATTTGCTCTCCATACTATCCCCATGAGGAACGTATTACAGGCATTATTGTAAACCCTGTTGTAGAGACCAGAAATTTAAGTGTTTTTCAGGGCCAGCAAGATAGCTCAGGGGACTAATGCTCCTGATTAGACAAACTTAAGCAAGCTCAGAGACCATGGTTCAATCTCCCACACCACATGCCATGCCAGCCCCACTCCCAGGGTGGGCTGAGCCAGCCACAGAGTCTGGGTGTGGTGGCACATGCCTGTAATCCCGGCGCTGGGGAGGCTGAAAACAGAAGGATCACCAAGAGTCTGAGCTGCATAGTGAGACCCTGGAACAATGAAATACATTTAAAAATAAAAATAAAAAAGTAGGTAAATAAATAGTTTTTCAGTTGAAGTGTTTGTCTCCATCACATGACCTGCACAACTGGGGTGGAAATCCAGAGTTTTTTCTATGGCAATTGTGTTCTGTATATCTGAGGGTCAATGTCTCTTCTGCTCCTTGGGAATCGTAATCATGTGAGAGATGCTGCAATTGCTTATGTTCCCCTTGGGCCAACATTTCCCATGTAGAAGGTGGTTGTTGGTCAAGTCAGGGTTCTTTCTGTTGTAGAGAAAGCTTGATGGGATCTTAAAAGTCATAGCAAGGTAGAAGGTAAGAGGGAGGGAAGGAGGAAGAGAGGACAACACGACAAAGATGTCAGAGAGCACCAGGGAGAATGCAACCATAATTTGCTTCTGAAGCTCCCTGCCCGTACAAACATCTGCTCCTTCCTCTCTGCTCTGTTCTTAGGTGGGATGGGCTTGGAGTGCACAGAAAGGCAGATAGTAAAGTTCTTATGAATCAGGCCTGCTCCCAATAGAAATCACTGTCTTTCCATGCTGCCTTTCTAACTTCTTTGTTGTGGTCTTGTTCTCCACTTCCCAAGGACCATTACTGAGACGTAAAGTAATTTTCCCTTGACATCACACATAATAGGCAGCATCTTAGAAATAATAATATAAGTACTGAGAGGGAACACAGTTTTCTGTATTAAATTCTCATGGACACTTTCAGTATATAAAAGAAGTTGCAGGTTTCTCAGTGAATTATGTCTCTCTTGTGTCTAGTTCTTTGAGTCATCAAGCCCCCTTTCTGCCTTAAAAGTAAAGGTCACATTGGTGGCATGGCTGGCTGGCTTGAGAATCGAGCTTTTTTCAAGACACATGGGACACCTGGTAAATATCCAAGGGATTAATTAGAACCTCAAGGGCACTTGTCATCCAGCTCCAATCTCTCATTTGCTGAGGGGCACACAATTGGTTTTTTTCCTTCCGGCTTGAGCTCTTGCTAATGCACACCTGAGCACACTTGCTCTAGTTAGCCTACTTGGAGCCATGTCGATTGCTGCCATTCTGATCATTTGTGAAGTTGTTCGATGTCCATCAGTTTAGACAATGAGCCTAGATTAGCGATGCTGGCCAGTTAGCCACCTCCAGTCTGGCTGCCTGGAGTACAATCGAGTTTGATTTTTCCTGCTCATTCCTGACAGAGTTTGTTTGTCTCAGTTTTGTCACGTATCCAATGCCTGACAACATCTATGGCTTTCTTCCAAATAGTCCACTTTCTAATCTCTGTAAAATAGTTTTCTTCCCTAGTCCTAAAGGTTGAACAGATTATTGACAAAAAGCATTGTCACTCAGAATAAAGAGTATCTACCACAAAACAGGGTCTAACCCTAGAGATTCAACATGTCTAAAACCTCCTATATCTAGAGGTGCAGGGACTACACCTCTGTTGTCAGTCACAGATGCTAAACTACATTTATTTCTTTATTCAGTACAGTCACGTTTTCCTACTCTTGCCAGGCCCACTGTCCTGCCTGATCTCCATGGAAAGACCTTGTGTGCACATGTGAGTCTAGCAGTGAGTTCTTCACCCAGACTTAGATGAGCCTCCTGCCAAAGAAGAGCAGTGTGTGTGGGCACAAGGAGTCCCCGTGCAACTTGACATAGTTCTGTAGAAGGCACTGTGGGTGTGGAGAAGTTGAAAGAAAAAGTATCATGTGGCCATCAGACAAGGCCTTGGAGGACCGAAAGCACCTCAGATGAAGGAAGCTTCAGAGGTGAGTGAAGCGAAGTAGAGAGAGGCATTCTAAAGAATAGTGCATCTGCTTGACAACATAATGCTCAGTGAAATAAATCACACACAGGAGGTTAAGTAGCACGTGGCCTTTCTTATATGAGAAATTCAAAATATAAATAAAGAGCAAAATAAAGGAGAGAGGAGGGTAGGGAGGGGGAGGGTGGAGTAAAAATTATCACAATGACATATATAACAATTCGCCAGATCTTTTCCTCCAAAAACACACATACAATATATACATATAATAGACATATATTATGTGTGTTTGTGGTGTAACTCATTGCCAATATATTATGAACACATAAGTATCAGTTATGCTAATGCACAAATGCCTTTTTGCAAACAACTCTGGCTCATTTGGGTAATTGCTTTGTCATCATGTGCTTTGTTGCTCAGTGGCTGTTTTCTTTCAGACCACTACAGCAAAACGCTAACATTTTATTATCGCCAGAGCCTCCTGACTGTCTCTAGGCTGCCAGCGCATTCTTTACACAAGCGCTTCCTGTTTTCCCAGCACACACAGAATGAAGCCCAATGCCTACATGATCTGACACGATCTCGGTCCCTATACCTCGTGTTTGTCTCTTACTGCACCCTCCCGGGCTCCCTCAGCAATCACTACTGTCACAAGGCAGGCTCCGTGACATTACTGCTAGGTAGGCGCTGTGTTCTCTGCCCAGAATGTTCTTTCGGAATACCTGGATGACTAATTCCTGCACTTTTCTCTGGTCCTTGCTTAATTAACATATTCTGAAAGAGGCCTGTTCTGACCTCCCTTCAATTTCCCACTCACCCTCTGCATAATAAATCTTACCGTGCTTCTATCTTTTTTCATCGTATCTGACATGCAACATGACATACAAATTACTTTCCCATCCCCATGTATTTTTTTTCTTCCCTTTCTATAAGGTTACAGATTTTTGTCTCACTTTTTTTTTGATTTGTATCAAGAGCCCAGTGAGGTACCACACATATTATAGGTTTTCCATGAATCGCCACTGAATGAGTCAATTACCGGATGACTTTTCTTTCCTAAAGACATATGTTTCTCTGAGAAGCTTGAAAAGAGTAGGTGTCAGTTGGGTAACATCAAGTTCAAGTATTCCCAGGGCTCCCACAAAGAGGCATCTTAATAGGATTCATTAATATCAAAGTATGTCAATCTCTCTCCTTTCTTGGGTATATAGTTTCTTTCCTACAATTTCAGAGTTTTGAGAACCTTATAGGAAGCATCGAAGTGGGGCACGGTGGGTCATGCCTGCCATTCTTGCATGCTGGGAAGCAGAGGCAGGAGGACTGA